TAATTACATATATACTTTAATGCTAAAAAATGACTCACGCTTTTGTACAAAGCGTCACAGCTCATTTAACGGGCTACCCAAATTAAAAATGATTTAATGCCAGTACCTCCGATTGCTGTGGACACGCGAAAATATCAGTTCAGCATTTATTAGAACATATCTTCTTGTTTGCATATTAAAAAGATTCAATCTGGCATATTTGTCATTGAAGTCCTGACTTTAAACTCGGCCATATTCCAACTCTCGGTAATGTCCCTCTACTTTGATAGTTTCGCTTATATGTACATACATACATACAAATATTGCTGCAATTAAGACGAAAACTATTCAAACTCAGCGTAATTCGTAAGCGTGCTTCGTAATTCCATGCAAAAGACACAGAAGAGGACTATGTGTGTGTATGCGTGGTAGGGCGAAGAGGAGAGATAATACACACATGCATGCCATGCATGTACTTCGACCGGCTCCTTCTTTCCTTCATTCTTTTTGTAAAAGCGTTTGTGACAAGTCGATGCAATAAAACTGAACAATAAAAATTAATTTATAAAAGTAAAACAGAACTGTTTGCTAATAGGTTATGTGCCCAGTTTACGGTACTGTCTGCTAAATTAATAAGTCTGAAATGGAAAAACGGAAAACGCAATTTAAAGCCATTCGATGGCGAAAAATATTCGATCTGAAAATCTCGTGTGGCGCGCCTTGTTAAACGAAATGGACGTGCCAAGTGTGGTGATGCCGACAATCTAGACAGAAGTTCAAATGAATGGATGAAAATGGACAAAAGGGCGAAAAGCGTTATAATAGAATATCTCAGTGACTCATTTCTTAGTTTCGCAAGTGTTAAATGCAGTGCTAAAGAAGTATTTGCTAATTCAGATGCAATATATGAATTAAGGGTTTGGCATTTCTGCGAAAAAAATTATTAAGCTTGAAATTGTAAGGGGACTGCCAACTGCTGAATCATTTCAATACATTTGATGAGTTCATACGCTAGTTACTAGCTGCAGGAGCTAAATTAGATGAAATCTAGTTACGATGGCGTTAACACGGCCATTGAGACCCTGTCGGAAGACAATTTAAAGCTGGTATTTGTGAAGCAATGATTGCTGGATCACGAAGTGAAGCTAAAAGGAATGTGTAAAGACACTAGTTCAAAAGCGTTGCAAGTCGTGAACTATAAACACCCAAATGTGAAAATAAATGAAAAAAAAGATAATAAAATTTATAACGACAAATAAAGTGAGAAATAAATACAATAAATTCAATAAAGTAAACAACATAAATTACAAACCAAAACCTTATGCAAATTTTAAGTGCAATTATTGTGGCATTAAAAAGAACTGTTTTAATTACAAAAGGTCTTACAATTATAAAAATAGTGAACAAGATAAACAAGAACAAAAACAAAACAAACTCAGCCAGAGCAGCGAATCGCGTTCATGCTCCGACGTGAAGTAGTTCGTCCGAAGGAAGAAAATTTATGTTTTCTTTTCGATTCTGGAGCTTCGAACCACCTCATTAACGATGAAGGCTTGTTTACCGAATATACCGAATAAAGCTGTGGCCAAGCAAGGAGAGTTTACATATGCAAAAAAGAAGGGTAGAGTGAGACTCGAGAATGAATTCATCGGTCAGATAACTCTGGAGGACGTGTTTTATTGCCCAGATGTCCCAGAAACTTTTCTCTCTGTAAAAAGAATGCAAAATGCTGTATTTAAACAAAAATAATACGTATCGATTGTGGCATGAGAGGCTAGGACACATAAGCAAAGGGAAGTTTATAGAAATTAAAAGAAATAATATGTTCGTGGATGTTAATTTAATTAATAATGTGGAGCCTAGTAATGAGCTATGTGAAGCTTGTATCTTCGGCAAGCAGGCTAGACTTCGTTTTGAAAAGTTTAAAGATAAAGAATATATAAAGAGACTATTATTTGTTGTGCACTCTGATGTGTGTGGTCCAATTAAGCCTGCTACCGCAAATGGTAAAGATTATTATGTAATATTTGTTGACCAATACACTCTTTATTGTGTAACATATTTAATTACATACAAGTCAGGTGTTTTTGTAGTCTTTAAATTTAATTTAAAATTAGTTTATTTATATATTTATAATGGTAAAGTGTATCTTTCTAATGAAATGCGAGAATATTGAGTTCAGAAAGGAACCAGTTACCACCTGACAGTTCCACATACTCCACAATTGAATGGTGTTTCTTAAAAAATTATTAGAAAAATATCAAAAAAAAAAAAGGTTGTGCCATGCAAAATGGAGCTAAATTGCAGAAAACGTTCTGGGGTGAAGTCGTCTTGACGGCAATCTACTTAACTAACAGAAGTCGTAGTGTTGCATTGAAAGATAGTATGAAAACACCATACGAGATGTAACATAGTAGAAAACTAAATCTTAAGTATTTGAAAGTATTTGTATTTGTATATCTTCCTGACAAGACTAGAAATCGAAAATTTGATGAGAAGTCGTGGAAAGGAGTTCTCATTGGTTATGAGCCAAATGGCTATAAAATGTGGGTGTAAAATCCAGAAAATTTACAATGGCGAGAGGTGTTATTGTTGATCAGACAAATATGTTAAATTCTAGAACTAAAATGAATAATTAAGGTTCTCGAGATTTCCCAAATGATAGTACGGAATGTATACTGAATGATAGTACGGAATGTGCTAATGATAAGTACCCGAACGATAGTACGGTATGTCTCCAGAAAGATAGTATGGAGTGTAATCAATCCAGTTTTCTGATTGATAGTAGGAAAATGGAATTTGATGAAATAAAATCAGATGAGCAGTTAAATAAAAATTGGTCTGAAAAAGGTAATCCACAGGCTGAATTACGAAAAAGCGAAAGAATAAAGCAGAGGACCACCATATCACACAAAGATTTGAAGAATTAAAAGAATTAATGAATTGGAAAAGGCAGTATCCAATATTATTTTACATTTTTTGTGGCATATTTTACACTTACCAACGAAATCAAAGTACCTTTAGTTGCTGTCAGAAAGACAATCTAAAGATACTTAGGCTTAATGGAACCATCCGTCTTGGTTGCCAGTGAGACGGATTTGCCCGCCATGGCAGTTACGGCGGCAAAGGACTTGAGGACATGACCGACATGGATATGAGAGTCTCATCATTTATCTCTGTCAGTTGATCAAACGTGAGATGCCTTCCAGAGGAAGGTTCGCTGTTCTTGCGTGGCTTTTCGGTGGGGGGGCAAAGCAACCGTGAAACGCTTCTGTGGAACGTGCTGGAAATTATCCAAGGACATTTTGCTGCTGTCCTTCAATTTGCGATAATCCTTTGTAATGCAAATTTCAGATCGACTAAAAACAGTTGTTTTTCTGTGTGTGCTGCGCCATGCAACAACACTTTTTGCCCCTGCGGCGACTGTCAAGTGAATGTAAAATCAAGTGGCGGCATCAGTTTCAGGCACGCGAATGATGTCAGCCACAGACACAACGCACTTTGCATATGGCTGTGGATATGGGCTGGGACTGGCACTGGCGCTGGAACTGGGACTGTGACTGGAACTGAGACTGCGTCTGTGACTGTGACTGGGGCCAAAACAGGTTCAACAGATTTAACAAAATGAAATGCCCAACGGCGCTGCGATATGGGGACATGGCCAAAACGAACGAAACGAAAAAAAAGATGAAGCAACAGCGAAACGAGCATTTTTGCGTTAATTATAAACGTCAAGGCCTTAGAGGCCCCCAACGCGTTAATCTCTCATTTGACGGGAGTCGAATTCAATTAAAAACACCACCCACACACTCTCGCGGAATCAATCGGGAACGGAACGGACCGAGCGTTACGAACGGAGCGATGTGTATAGCACCCCAAAAAATCAAGTTCTTCTCTCGCACCACACACAGATACACACACCCACTCGCGAGTGACGAAGTGCTCGGGCAGCCAATCGAGCTGCGGCAAAGACAGGGACGGCAACGCGTGCACATCGAGCCATCTCGCTCTGGTCGCTCTCTCTGAGTTTGCGCTGAATGTCTATCTCGTCGAGCGAACGAAAAGCGGCCCCGAAACGGTTCAAAGCGCCAGCATTTCTATCTTTCAGTCAGTCTTTTAAGACTTTTCGTGGCGTGCACTCTGTAAGCGAGACATATACGGGAGAATTACTACGCGGCTTACGGCGAGAAGTGACAGAGCGAGACGGACGGAGAGGTATGGTTGGAAAAAAGAGCGTGTATGAGAAATCGATAAGAGCCAGCTGAAGTGGAAGAAGAAGCAGCGCTGTTGATGCCGCTGATTGTTGGGTGTGTGGTGCTGTCAGTGTGTGTGTGTGTTTGTGTGTGTGAATACGGATTTCCATTTATTGTAAATCGATTAGAAAAGCGCGTAAAAACTGACATTCGAAATTCGGCAGGGAAAACTCTCCTCTGCGCCAGCTCGGGAGGATTGCCAATTTGCGTCGCAGTTTCCCTTCGGTACGGGCGGAAAAGTAAGCCAAGTGGAAATGGGAAAAATAACAACAACGAAACCCATTTCTAATCTGAAAATTTCACTTTACGCCGAAAAACTGTGAGGTGTCAGTGTATTGGTGAACATTTTGTAAACACACGTACACGTGACCAGTGTACACGTGTGTGTGTGTGTGTGTCGTATGGGAATTTCGTCGTGCGGCGAAAAGCGGTTCGGTTTGAGTGCGGCGAAATTGCGCGCGCGCAAAAGTAGAAAGTTGCCGCCAGGTCTCTCTCTCTCTCTCCCATCCACTCCCACTTGGAATTCGCCGCCAGAGCTCTCTCGCCGCAGCGGCGGCGAATGTATCTACAAAATTTGTGTCGTCGTCTCAATCTCAAATACAAATACAAACACAAGCACACGCACATGTTGGTGTTGTCGCGTTTTTCGCCGCGTGCGCTCTTTCGGGCCCGTTCGTAATTGTGGCGAGTACACGAGAGCGAGGCGAATGAATCTGAAACCGCGATTTAGTGTGTGCCGCACGTAGCATTTGAATTTCGTCGTGCAATGCTTTTAGTTTGTCTTCGTGCCCCAAGAAAAGCTATACAAGGCAGCACAGTGCTGCCGTTTCCATGTGAAATTTGTTTGACGTGCTTTATTTTACCTTTTTTCTAAATGTGAGTTTCGTTCGCTTGTCGTTCTCGGTCTCGGTCTCTCGTCGTCTGCTATTCGGGCAAGAGCTTGTTGCGTATGGTGCTCCACATAGATGGGCCTGTGTGTGTGTGTGTGTTGAGTAGCAGTAGCAACCACCACCCTGCGGGCGGGTCGGTGGGTGTCGTCTCGTACCGGCGCTTGTCGTAACTTTTGTTATTATTGTTGCCGCTGTCGGTGTCGCTGTCGCTGCCTCTGCCTCTGCTGGCGTTTCTTTCAAGCTGTGACCATTTCGTCATTGTCACTGTATGCGTGCGTGTGTGTGTATCTGTGTGTGTGTGGAGTAGTGCGCGCCTTTTACGAAATTGCGGCGTATAAACAAAAAGCGTGGACAATAACGTCACACTGACGACGTCATCAATACGCAGCGTCATCAATTGTTCGGCCCACATCCACATTGGGTGGCACGTTAACGAGCACTTATGTGTCCTCCCTCTCACACCTTTGCCCAGCTGTGTGGGCGGGCCCATGGGCGTGTGGGCATCCGCCCCCCCGACTTTGTAATCAAAAGAAGCAGCAGGGGCAGCAGCATCACCATCTTCTTAATATTCTACATATTTCCAACCTCTTTGCGCCCACTTTTTAGCTCTGGCTTGTTTCTAGTTTCTTGAGCTTTTGCTTTTGTTTTTGTTTGGGTTTTTGTTTTGCTAGCTCAGCCTCCTCCACTGCTCTGCTGTTCTGCTCTCCTCTCCGCTCCGCTCTGCTCTGCGTCTTACTCCCATTCCTACTATTCCTCATCTCTTTCGTCGTCGTTTCTCTGTTGTCATTTTGCCTGCTGTCAACTGCCACAACTATTTCGGTCTTCCCTTCACAAAAGCCCAAGCTTTCGTGCCAGTTTCGCGTGCGGCAGCAAGCAACCAGAAACTGAAAGAGGTGGAAGAGAGGAAAGCGGCAATCGAGACAAAAAATGGATGAAGCTGATGCGACGACTGGCTGCCCTTTGGGGGGTGGTGGAAGCTCAGATTAGAGAATAGGTTAAAAAAAGTGGGGAAATTATTGAGAAGATATTCAGGAAAAAGGGTTGCAAAGGGTTTCATCGTCATTTAACACTTTATTGTATAGGTAATTCAGCACTTTGTATCGATGTTTGATCTTATTGAGTGATTTGGTAGCAAGAACTAAAGAAATTCGCTCTAGGAGATACTTTTGAGACATGAAATACACTTAGAGAACACAAGTGAATAGTTGTATTCAGTTTATTGCTGCTAAAAGTAATGAAAATGTTTTATGGGATACTCCAAACATCAAGTTTGCTTTGATATGTTTATGCTTAAGGGAAATGGAAATGGATTACAGACTCAAATATCGTCTGAGGGATGCTTGGAATATTCAAAACCCGCATAATGTCAAACGGAATAGTTTGATTATAGTATTAGTTAGTGTACAAAATAAGAATAAATAATTTTGAATAAGGTTCAAATGATCCTTTTCTCAGGGATATCTTATAGACAGATCTTGCAGGCATCTGGAAATCCTCTGGGTATGCCAAATAATCTCTCTATAACAGTATCTGCAGCCCAAACAACCTGCTGAACTTTGCCCTGGCATCACCAACTTCCCCGGCATCATCATCATCATCGTTGTAGTCATTGTAATAATGATGGAAATTCTGTTACTTACTCTCTGCCTTTGGCTGACTGACTGACTGACTCTGACTCTGTCTCGCTTGTGTGGGGCACAAAAGCGTAATTTTCGTAGTTTTATTCGTTTGCACGGCAACATCATCCAGCGCCAGGAGAGAAGCGGCGGGGTCCACTAGGGTTCAGGGGGCGGACAGGGAGGTAAGCTAAAACTAGCTTCAAGTACACCGTCGAGTGCACATCGTTTTCTGTGTCTCTGCCTCCACTGCCACTGTCCGTATCTCTGTGTGTGTGCGTGTGTCCGTGTCTGTGTCTGTGTGTTTCTCTCGGGTGGCTCTCTCGCTCGGTAGGTGCCCTCTGTGGCACGAAGGGCGTCGCTTGTGCGCCCGAAAGACTGCAGACCCTGCCCCCCCTCTGGCAACCTTCCTTCCCTCATGCCCCAACCCCAACCCCATAGAGTTGCTACTTTTGTACTCTTTTTTGTTGTTGTTTTCTTTTTATCCATATTTTTGTTTTCATCATTGTTCCGATTCATGGATATGGATGGCTGCCTTACTAGTCTAAAGTTTTCCGTTTTGTGTCTAGTTTTCTCTCTGTGTGTGTGTGTGCTGTGGTGCTGCTGCTGCTGACGTTGTCGTTGTCGTATCTTTGAGGCCAGATACAGATACATAGTTGATGAATGTATCTCTGCTCTGTGGCTTTGTCGCTGCCGTTGACGAGCGACAACCACAAAGATGTTGACGATGATGGGCGAATGGTGATGTGATGATGGGACTTTGCTCAATCTTGTGTTTCTCACAGTTATGGGTTTCCCCATTCCCCCCATTCCCCCATTCGCCCATCTCTCACTCTGACTCTATCTCCCTCTTGTCTCTTGTCTGTTGTCTGTTGTGCCAGTTGTGGGGTCGAGGCTCGCTCGTTTTGGCCATCATTAGTGGGGTGCACGGGGCATGGACCGGGCATCAGTTTATTATCCATAACTTAACCAGAATTGCTTGCTTTATTGCAGGACATGCTTGCCGCTTGAGTGCAGTCCAAAAAGAGGCTAACTAACAGCGACACACAACTCCACAGGAGAATTCCGGCAGGAGAATGCATCTCCAGACCACGCACAAAACGGCTCAGCCCGAGGCAAGCCCCGCAATGGACTCCACAATCTCAACTGCATCATCCAGTGCCTCGGCAACTGCTGCCACACATTGCGATGTGCGGCAGTTCCACGGACTGATCACCTGCGGCCTCTGCCAGGGCTACATGATCGATCCCACCACAGTGGACTATTGCTATCACACATGTAAGTAGACTCCCCGCCCTCCGCTATTGGCCTCTTCGCCAGGATATCCTCATGTGAAAACCCTTTCCCCTTCCTCGCCAGATTGCCGCAGTTGCATATTGAAGCATCTGCTGCGCGTCGCCTACTGCCCGCAGTGCAAGGCCAGCGGCGGCAAGGAGATCAGCGAGATCAATCTCAGGTAGGTCTATGTCTACAGTCCATTCCCACTATTGGTTCCCTCCCACCCAATTCGATTCGAGCTACGAGTTCCGCAAATGGTAGTCTTTTGGTTCCCTGAAAAGTATATTTAACTTCGATTAAAATATTAAAATAAGAGATTTCTATTAGATATGTACCTTTTAATTCTAACATCAATTCCTCAAGCCAAACTTAAGTTTTAATTATTTAATTTTAATTGTTCAGAAAGAGCTCCATTCAAGGCTATACCTTCTAGTATTTTTCTTCCAAGTTCTGCCCAATTTAATAGCTCTCAAGTAAATTCTGATTTGGTTCCCAAGGGTTCTATGTTCCCATTGCGTTGTACTTGCAACCCCCAAGACTAATTCCCGCATTTCCATCCCAGATCGGACGACATACTGCGATCTCTGATCTATAAGCTGGTGCCGGGCCTGTACAGACGAGAGTGCGACCAGCTGGTCGACTTCAAAGAGCAGCACCGAGAACTGCTGGATGCGGACGACCAGCAGCCGGTGGCCGAGCCGGAGTTCTTCACGTCGGCGGATCTTGTGAGGTAAGATTGGGCGCAAAGGGGGAAAGACAGTCCAAGCGGAGGCTCTAATGCCTCCCATTTTGTTTGTCGCTTGTCGTTTCGTGTGCAGCCTCTCCCTGGAGTACCATCCCGCGATGCTGGAGACGTGCGCGGCGGGCGAGGTGCCGCCGGTTATCTACCTGCAGTGCCCCGCCGGCCTGAAGGTGGAGCTGCTGCGGCGCTTCCTCTGCTCCAAGTACAACATCGATGCGGACAACAAGCTGGTCGAGGTGGAGGTGACCTACGAGGACGAGGTGCTGCCCTCCAGCTTCACACTGATGGACGTGGGCTATTGCTACAAGTGGACTGGGGTAAGTTCCGGAATCCTCTACTCTGTGGCCCTAAGGGGCGGGGGGGGCGGAGTCTATTGCCGCACGTTGTGGCTTTTCCAATTACCGGGGGGAATCGAATCCAATTGTGCCACCAGATTAACGTTCAATGTCCACTTTCCATCCCCTGCCATCCCCCTTCTATCCACTGTCCACTGTGCGCTGTGCACCCCTTGCAGCATGCCCCGATGGCCTTCTGCTACCGGATTATGGTGTACGAGAGCGAGCGAGCAAAAAAGGACGAGAACAATCTGTCGAAGAGTAATAGCCGGGACGTGGACAATGGCCAGAAGGTGCGTCGCTCCAAGAGCGGCAAGTCGGTGACCTTCGCGGACGAATTGGAATCGGAGATGGACTCGGCCCTGGTGTCGGGGTCACCGCGTGGCAAGGGGCGCAGCAACAAATCCGCGAAAGCGTCGCCACCCCCCAAGGCCAAGCGGCTGGCGACGGCCAAGCGGGAGCTGGAGGACAGCTCCAGCTCCGGTTCGGTGAGCAGCTTCAAGAGTCTGCGGAGCAACGACATGCGCTACAGCGACTACGCCGTGGCGCGCGTCAAGAGCGAACCTGAGGCCGAGCCCGAACCCCAGCCGGAACCGGATGCCGCAGAGCAGCCCCGAGAGTCCGCCCTGCCGCCCCACATGAACATTGTGGTGAGCATTCCGCCCTCGCAGCTCAGTGGCTACGTCGACGAGGGCGACTTTGAGCTGAAGACGGCCAACAAGAAGGGCAACCTGCCCAAGCTGAAGATCGAGCTGAACAGCATGAGGAGCAAGCTGTCCATGCCGATGTCCGCGGAGCCGCGCCTCGAGGACACCACCTCCTGCTCTGCGCAGCAGCTCGACCTGGAGACCTACGCGAAGAACATCGGCCTCAAGCCCATTGAACCCACCACCCACTCCAGCCACTCCAGCCACTCCGCCCCAGCGGTGGCTGCCGCAGCGGACAGCAAATACAGTCCGAACGCCTCGCCCATGTCCTCGTGCTCCACATCCACGAATGGCTCGGGGTCCGGTTCCAATGGCCTGGGCACAGCAGATGCCTCCGCAACCTCCATTCCGAGCTGCAGCTCGGGGTCTGGCTCCCATCGCAAGCGCAAGAAGAAGCACTCCAAGGAGCCGAAGGACGCGAACGGGAAGCGGAAGAAGCTGCACGCGGAGATCTCCTCGCAGACCGATGGCAAGATGAAGGTGAAGATCACCTCCAACCCCACCACCAACCACAAGGCGCACAAGCTGGACCTGAAGCGATCCCACTCCCTGGCTGGCGGCGAACTGGGCCGGGGCCTGGACTCCGCCGTCTCCCTCTCCCACCTGAAGTTGGACGACGCGAGAGGCGCCACCAGCGATGCGCTCAACCGGACGCTCGGCGAGGAGTCGCGCAGCATCAGCAGCCTCATGACCGGCGCTCCCACGCCGCCCCCCACGCCCACAGCGGAAACGGAAGCGACCAAGATGGCGCTGGTGGCCAAGGAGCTCGCGCTGCCGGCATCTCCACCGCTGCCGCCCAGCCTCTTCAAGGCCTTCACCCCAGCCACAGCCCCAGCCCCAGCACCAGCAACAGGTCCGATCCGGACTCCATCCCCGACGACAGCCGCTCCAGCGTCCAAGCCCAAGCAACATCAGCAGCTGCAGCAGCAGCAGCAGCAGCAGCAGCAGCAGCAGCAACCGGCAAAGGCTGCCACAAAGCCGCCGCTGAGCAACAACAACAACCGGAAGCAGGCCCAGTTGGCGGCCCCCGGTGGACACTTTGTGGTGCCCCAACCGCCGCAGCACGCCAATCGCAACATGTACCACATGCAGCGCTACCACTCCACACCCAGCTCCATCGCCAGCTCGGCCAACAAGCAGCCGAAGCGCTCCGTCTCCGTGGACGAGTCCCTGGCCGGTGGCCAGGCCAAACAGGCGCGCCTGCAGCAGGTCCAGGCGATGGCCAGCTACGCAGCTCGCTTCCAGATGCAGGCCAACGGAAACGGGCCCAAGGTGGCCTCCGCCTCCTACCTGCCCAATCCCCAGATGCGGCTGTACGGCCCGGAAATGGCCAAGCAGCAGGCGCTGCCCGTGCACTGTCCGGCCAGCATCAGCATGTCCCTGCCCAGCACCACCCTCAGCAGCGGCTCGGTGACCATCACTCCCCGCGGGCGTCCCAGCCAGCAGATGGCCTACTCCTTCCCAGAGCCAGCCAGCCACTTGCCCGCCCTGGAGATTGTGCGCCTGGGTCCGGAGCAAGCCGGCGGCTGCGGTGCCCAAACAGTCGCCCGCGATGATGACTGGCGGTCGGATAATGGGACCACCGGCGGCCAAGCAGAACCAGAACCAGAATCAGAATCAGGCTCAAAGCCAGGCCAAGGGCCAGGCCAAGAGGGCTGCTGTCCAGTCGCCGCCAATGCCCATGCCCATGCCGATGCCCATGCCGATGCCGCTGCCAATGCCGATTCCGGCGATTGTCAAGTCACCGCCGCTGTCAGTGGCACTGAGTGGGCAACGTGGCAGCCACAACTACAACAACCACAAGAGCAACAACAGCAACAAGAACAACAATGCGGCTTATCGCGCATCTCCGCCTGCATTAATAAATCTGCGCAACACCGTTCCACTCCCGTTTCCATCAAAGTCAAGCGCAAAGGCAGACGCCAATTCAAAGAAATCCCCGCCAGCAGCGGCAGCGGGAACTGTAGCTGGTTGCATCGGAGGTGGTTCGACGAGCAGCAGCAACAGCAGCAACAGCAGCAGCAACAGCAGCAGTCAAAGCAAAACCAATGGCACCACTGCATTGGATCCATCGAAAACGGGTTTGCGCGAATTTCGACCGCCGTTTGGCACAGCGTTGCCAGCAGCAGCAGCAGCAGCAGCCAAGGATGCCGACATACTTGATTTATCAGCGAACCCGGGTCGCGGCAGCAGCAACAGCAGCAGCAGCAGCAACAGCACCAAATTGGCTGGGACAAACAGGGCGCCCACATCCACATCACCGCCTGCGTGCAACAGCAGCAACAGCCTGGAGGCAACCTTAAACAAAATCATACAGAACATATCCGCCAACAGCAACAGCAATGGGAATGGGAATGGCAATGGAGGAGGCTTAACCTCTGGGCCTACAGCGGCAGCAGCAGCAGCAGCAGCAACAACCACGGGAAACGGCACCACCACCAGCAGCAGCAGCAGCAGCAGCAGCAGTGGCACTGCCACAGCCAGTGGTACTGGCACTGGTACTGGCGATGATCTACAGAATCTGCATTTGCTCTCCGAATCGGCGACGGCGCGCGAGAAGATCTCGATAAAGTCGGGCGGCAGCAACATCTTCGAGAACAAGCCGAAGAATGGGAATGCAGTGGTGCGGCCACAGAACGCCTCGGTGCGGAGCATACCCAATCCATCCGCACTGGCCTTTCGCAATCAGACAACGCTTCCAGCAGCAGCTCCAGCAGCAGCCGCAGCATCTATGGCCAGTGCAATCACGAAACCACTGACGGTGAAGGCCGAGGAGAAGCCCAAGATGTCAACCACCGCGCCGGGCCTGCTCAGTCCCACTGGCAGCACTGGCAGCAGCCACAGCAGCTCTGGATGCAGTGCAGCAGCCACCTCGCCGCGTGCCCTGACCAAGAAACCGACGACGATCGATCAAGTGGCGGCCAATTTGAATATTCGTGCCGAGGCCAAAGCCGCTGCTCTGGCCGAGGAGGCTCCCCTGGTGCTCACCACAAGCTCCTCCAAGTCACCGGAGCTGGCCAAGACGACAGCGACAGCGGCGGTCACAGTGCCAGCAACAACAACAACCACAACAACAACAACACCAGCCACAGCCCAGCCCGAAATCGCAATCGGCCCGAAGACAGAGTCGACCAAGGAGACGACAATCACCGTCTCGGCGGCCAGCACTCTCCTGCCCATGCCAGCAGCGGCGGGCCTCGTGGGCCAGTCCGAGGCCCTGCCCAAGCCGCCCGTACAGATCGCCGCGACGGACACCCTGGCTCCGGTGGCGAGTTCCGCTTAGTCACAAGGTGAGTGCCACATAACTGAAGAACTTTTAATTGCATTTAGCTACTCGTAAATAATGATGTTCATTCCCAAGTTGAGTTGAGTTCTCATTAGGTTTACTCGATGCTTAGCACTTTTACTTGCTTCTCTGATCGGGGGTCAATATGTGATTTATGGGAGCCAAAGAGGTTTTCTTTTTTCTGATTATAATCCTATTTTTTTTCTTCTTGAGTTCACATTATCAATGTTCTATCCTACATTTATTTGATCAGTTCGATGTATCTTTGGATTTGCTTTTTAAAGATTTGTTTTTTATTTATTTAATAACTTTTTATAATGTTTAAACCTTATAGTAAGTGATGATAAACTAGCAGTGGCTGCTATGGGCTTTAGCTAGATTTTAAAGATTTATTTTGACTGAAACATCGAACAGATCTGTCTTATTTCAACGCGGTTAGTTGTTCTCTGTGGATTCATTCAATTCCTTTAATCCAGTGGTTGGCACGCACACACTCACATGGTTTGCAATGCGTTTGTGTGCGTAGACAGCAGGCAAAACGGAACATTGTATTGGTGCCAACCACGTAATGCACGTGTACGTGAGCGTCAGCGCTGCAGCGGTGTATTTTACCTATACCCATTAGATAGGGCCGTCCCGAAGACAAAATAACAATTATTATATTGTGTTTGGCCGGCCAGCTTTCCAGCTTTAATTGCAAACGGCAATCGTTTCAACATGTGGGACTGTATTTGATTCGCTATTCTACGCTCGACTTTCATTTGTTTATCAGTTTTGTTTCTGGTTTCTTGTAATTTTCCTCGAATCTCTGGAAGTTTCCATTCCATGCTGCATATCTGTTTTTCCAATTTATTTACTAAAGATTCGATTAATGCCTATTCCTGTTCTGTGTAGATAATCCTTTCTTTTCATCCTAGATTTTCTATAAATCGAATTCCTGTCTTTTGGTAGTCTCTTTTAGATGCTTGATTTTATTTAAACCAATTCCGGCTATGTTTCCTTTATGATTTATTCTCATCTCAAACCCTATAAGGTTGTTACCAAAGTCGGGTTCCTCATAACGGTTTATCTTCTGGATGCTTCTTTCTTCAGAGTTGAGCTCTAGCCAACTTGTTTCCTATTTCCCTTATGAGTTGGCTATAATTTGTACGTTTTGGCGCATTTCCCACACTTAATGGAACGGAATAGAGACTCGAATTATACAAATTACGTTTCGTGTTTTGCCTTTTTTCACTCTTCCTATTTTTCCGGCCTCTTCCTCCATCTCACCTGACCTCACCTCACCTCACCTCTCCACTCCACTCCGCCTGCTGCTGCTGCTTTTCGTTTCTACTTTTCTCAAGTAGTCATTATACACAAATAATGTGTCTTCTTCTACTAGCTCTCTCCCTTTCCCTCTCTCTCTTTTACTATTTTTCTCTCGCGTACTTATACCTCCTCTCTGTCTCTCTCTCCCTCTCCCAGCACAATCTGTCTCTCTCGTTCGTCATTCGGCAGCGGTCGTGGTCGGTCATTCATACCGAACGAACTCTAGTCTGCTTTTATTTTTGCCGTTAGCAGCATTTGAGTTTTGTTTTCGTACCCTTCCGTCCGTTGAGTATTTATAATTTTGGTTAGATGTTTGACCCCCCTGAGGTATTTACGATACAACTTTGCACATACCCTTCATTTGGCTGCAAAAATTATGCGAATCCTTCGCTTGGTGGCTATTGGAAAAAGAAAAGAAAATCCAACCAAACATTGCAAATTGTAGTCTTAAATACTTGTAGATAACTCGCTTCATTTGGCGGATTACTGTTATTATATAGCTAGCCGAATAACACAACAGATCTGTAGGGTATTTAAATATTTGCTAGCCTTCCACTTTTCGTTCTGTTCTTTTGGTTGTTCGGTTGTTCGGTTGGCCTTTTAATGAACATCATTACATCATTTTGTATTTTCACCCATAGAAAGGCGAATAACATTTTCATTCATTCTTGTTTCTTCCATCTTCTTCTGGTTCTTTGCTTGCAGCTTTTCTGTGGCTGTGCGGAACGCAAATGTATCTTGTGGCGCCTCTGGAGAACCTACAAAACAACAGCAGCAACAACAGCAACAACAACAACAACAACAACAGCAACAGCAATGACAACAACTGAGAAGGACAGAGACTGAGACACCTGTGTCTGTCGCCTGTCGTCTGTCCTCGCTCCCGAAAAGAAAAGTGCAATTTGTGTGAAATCAGTTAACTTGAAATAGACGAGATTCGTAAAGCCTTACAACCGACCCGAAATATCCTCAATAGAAAGCAATATAGAATAGATTAGAGATCAAACCGAATCGTTTTCATAGCCAAGCAAATATTTTGACATTGTATTAAGTGGATGCCACTAAGCTAATAAATATTCCATAATAGGCAGCAAGTAAAATGTTAAAAAATATCGTAAATAAATTAATCAAACAAGCGAAAAAGAACAGACAAAAAAAAGAAGAAGAGAAGAGAAGTTAGGCAAAAAGCACAAAGCAGCAACGAATTAATTATAAAATATCAACAAGAACCTGAGATAAGGTCGCGTACGGGTAACGATTTTGATGGATCTTTTTGGGTTTTCGCTTTATTTTTGGGGGAAAGTCCAGCCAGAACAGAACCCCACTACGAACCACACTAGAAGTAGCCGATAGAGAGAGACTTTTTTTAATTTAAAATAGGATTATAGAATGGCGATGCCTGATAGGGGACGCCTGAATGTTAGGGGAAAAGTGTAATCGCATCAAGAATATTTGATTATGGCAAGTGTTGCGCTGTGTCTGTGCCCTCCTCTCACCCTCTCACACTTGCGCCTTGCCACCAGTGCGGCGTGGAGAATGTGCTACGAAGTGTGAAGTTGTGGTTTCGATGGCATGGTGGTGGTGGAGTCAAAAATGTGCTGTCCGGATGGAACGGATAGAACAGCACTTACAGAACCCATAAAGAAGATGAAGAGAACACACAGATACAGATACACACAAAAACTCGGGATACAGATATACCCGATAGATATACACAGATACACACAGGCATACACATATACCCCGATACATACTCACGTTCTTCAACGAGGCGATAAAATTTTAACGATTTTGCGCCGCTTTGGAGCGAGCGTGTCAGGCATAAAAATATAAAACAAAACAATACTATAAGCAAATCAAACAAACAAAACGGAATAATGCAAATAACAGACCCCCACACACAGGCGCACACATCCATATCCATATATACATGTGTATGTATATGTAGATACGCGTATATCTTGTAGATACTTTTTTCGCATTAGTTGTTTAAGCGCGTTACGTTTAATTGCAGCACGAACTTTGTACATAAATTTAAATCGAATCGAATCGAAATGAATCGGGCAAAGCGAAATGAAAACAAAAAACAAAAAACAAAAAACAAAACAAAAAGCAACACACACACACGGCACATGGAATTAAATTTGGATTTTTTTTTTTATTTTAGAGCTTTGACCAAATACAAATACAAATACACTACATATGCTATGGCTATTATACATTATGCAGATATGAATGATATTATACTCTTAAATTTACGATATTCGTAGACTTGAAAAAAGGCTTTAGGTTTTCATACTTTCCCCTCTAACCTTAACCGCTTTTAGCTGATATTTTTTTGTTTTTGTTATTTCGTCTCGTATGTACATATTTTACACAGTGAAAAAAAAAGTATAAAAATTGCGAAGGAGGACTGGAAGTAATCGTACTAAAATATATGAGTTTCTTACGGGAATAGCTGGATTTGTAGAATGGTGAAAGAGAGACAGAGAGACAGAGAGAGAGAGAGAGAGAGAGAGATAAACCTACCCTTTTGTTTTCAACCCCTGGGCATCCACAGCATCCCTCGTGATCGGCACGAAATTAACATAATTTCCAGGCAATCAAACAAATTGAAAATCAGCTCAGCTCGTTTCCAGCTATTCCAAAACTTTGTCTCGACTCCTGATTGTTGTATATTTATATTTATTTACTCCTATTATTGAGATATATTTAGATATATGTAAGTACGTATATGAATGTATGTGTAGTTGTATATTTGATCGGATCTTTGGACTTGTGTAAGCTGATATTTTATTGTTCGGAGACCCTAAACTAAATAATGAAACAAAAACCTATTAATATACATATGTAGCATATAGCTCTGATTGTACGCACTCTTGTATGAAATATTGTTAGACCACACTCGAAATGTAATCCACACACACACACGCACACACACACTCTAAGTTAATTTAGCTGATTTTCGAAACAAATAAAAAGAAATCATCATAATGAAAACACCCTGTATGTGAAAAATATTTGAACTGGGATGGCAAATGCGAATACGAATGCGGTTTTCTATATATTTTTATGGATATGGCTGTGGCACAGATAAATCAGAGCGAAGCGTCGGTGGCGACAGAAGGTGTCGCCCCCTCCCCTCCCCCACCAGTGAAAGGGAAGTTGGATCAGGTTACAGCCACGACTCCCGTTCCGTTCCGTTCCTTTCCTTTCCACCCCTCGTCTACTTGTTGTTGGCATTGCAGATTTCAACGCTTTTCATGCCTCACATGAGGGGGGAGCTGGAGCTGACACTCCAAGCATAAGATACCGAGGGGAGCCACCAAAGAGAAGGAGTTGGGCGGACACTTGCCGGAAACATATGGCAGCACGCTAAAACCAAACCCCGTTGTCGTTGTCGTTGTCCATGCCCTTCATCCTCCCCCACAAAAGCCGCAGAGCCCTAGCCACATAACGGGACAGTGCACGGGGCAGGGCACGTGCCAGCGGCGTCCCAGCAGCGTAACCTTCTGCAAGGGCGATTGTTGCTGTGACAGCACGAGGACGTGCACAAGGACGAAGGCGAGTAAACGATTGCCGAGCGAGCCCGCTCGCCGAAGCTTCAGTGGGTGGCAGGCAGGCCTGCCTGTCGCTCTGTGGCCATGTGTATATCATCCAACGGTAAGTGTGTGTGTGTTTTCTGCCCCAGAGATGTGTGCGTGACGGGGCTGCCGAGTCAGGCTCCCAGGGGGATAGCTGGAAATTAAACTACCATATCGCATATTTGAGTTGTTAGCCAACTTCAAGGGCTAATGGAGCATTAAGATAAACCCTTAATGCAAGTAACACAAAACTCGTAGACTCTCGATCAATGTACATTTGAATATTCTGAGCTCAAAGAACTCTTGAAAATATTATTTATATCATTATTATTGCCAGTAATTACTAAGACCTTGCTACAGGCTCCGTTACTCCTGTTCTACAAGTCATTCGCTCACGAGAAGCTCGCTCGTGTCACGCTGCCATCACTAGCTGTGCAACTTGTTGTTTTATTTGCTTGTCGTACTTTTATTAAAAACGAACGCTACTTAATCAGCAGCAAAATGTCGCACTTTACTGCGCACACACATCCACACCCACACCCACACCCGCGTCTCCTCCCCCATCAATCCGTAGAATCCCTAGTGTTGGCAAGAGAGTGAGAGGTTGACTGAGTGGGGGAAAGGGAGAGAGAGATTGTAAGAGAGAGAGAGAGAGTGAGTTGAGCAGGGGGAAAGGCAGACGCCGTTTGACTTTTTGCTGTCGTTGCAAAAACAGACTTATCAGCTTTTGTTTCTGTTGCTTTTGCTGCCTGCCTGCCTGCCTGCCTGCCTGGCTACGAGAGAGCTTTCCAAGTCGCCTCGCGACGCTTTGCTCCATCCGGCCACCCGTTTGGCATGTGCTGCCTCCCTGCCACACCCCACCCCACTCGACCCCACCACACCACACCAGCACAACCAGCACCACCCCGTGCCAGGCCTGCTCTGCTCTGCTGATAAATAGCATTTAAGTATTAGTGTTGCCGCTGCCGCTGCCGGTTGCCGTTGCTGTTGCGCCTTTGTTGTTGCCACAGTTGGAACGTGCCCCGCTTTGCGATTCGCGATTGGTAAATTGGGTAATTGAAAACACTTAACGGTTATGATTTATTATCTGTGTACTTTCCACTTCTGCCCCTGTCGCTGATGTAACTGCCATTCAAGCTGCGACATTGTATGGAAAATCTCATTTGCTTCACAAACTCAATTGTTGGCCTGAATAATAGTACGATACTAGTAATTAAAAACGAATCAATCAAACGTGTATATCAGTATTGTTAGCCAAATTCGAAGGGTTGATAAACGTTCTCCCTGGTACCTGATTCGCGGGATCTCTGAATTTTCAGCAAGAAAAAAAAAACGCACGCAAGATATTAATGCAAATAATAATCTTTTGTTGGGAAATAGTTTTGGTTTTTTTCCACTATGTTAAAGAATGTCTAAATACTAAATTATATGAACGGCTCCTAGGCATATTTACAAGCTACCAACCTATCAAAATTTACTACGTTCCGATCGCTTTAACAGGGCAAATCATCACAAAATTACAAATCAAATTTGTGGATACACCGTCATCATTGTCATATCTGATCAGGACAGTTCCTTACGCTAACATTTTCTTGAAAGTTCTACCATGTCTCATTTAATCAAAATTTAAGCTATCTGAGTCCGTTGTTTGTTGTACTTATATGGCTCGTGATTATGCAACAATCTTTCAAAAATCATCGCAATTCGATCATGCACAAAGCCAAAATCATGAAATATATACCCATATGCTTTTATCTTGATATATTTCATATTTAACCATCTTTTATCTTTGGGATAAAAGTGCAAGGATAGTTTGAGCTCCAAGAATCGAAGTACGAGAATCAGGAGAGTATTTTGCAAGGGGTCAGTGGCTGGGCTGGCTACCCAAGTTGTTAGGTAACACTGCCGGCAACTGTCTCTGATATTGACATGCTAATTAATCGAGTAGTCGAAACCTTTCTGCTTACGCAACCGTTATCGGTGTGTGGAGTGAAGTAATTCCATTGGAATTCGCGCAGCCCGTGCCAGTCATTTGTCTCGACAGGTTATTAATGCTAATAGATTGCACTTAAAGTTTGCATAAACAATTTGCACAGAGTGGGCGGGCAGGGCAGGTCGGTCAGGCTAATCGAACTACATTGTTTGCAAATGTGCTGCCCAGGTTAAAGCACGTGTCCCATCGGTTCGGTGTCCAATAATGAGTGCAATAGAGCCATCAATACTGTGAGTCCTCTAATAGATTGAACGCTGCAAATTTGATGTATTATCTGGAAATATCTATTAAAGTTATGCCTTTTAATCAAAATTCTTCCGCCATTTTTCGTACCACCAGCATTTCCAGCAATCTAAATGAATGAATATTTTCCTATGCAGCGCGAACTTATCTTTTTAGTAAATAGCTATTTTCCAGATGCTAGAAGAGTCTCAGTCAAATTTGTATGCGATTACGCCCACAACTTTGATAACGTGGCAATCGGCTATACAGCCGTTATTTACGCTTTGTATTTTGAATACCATTAGCATTCGCAATTTTAAAATTCCAATCCAATTACATACTTTGAAATTATAATCTTGATAATTACTAGAGAGCGCAAATGAATGACCGGAATAGTCGCGAATAATCGGAAAACTAAAGGCCTTTCCTACTAATAATGGAATCTAGTGCTGCACATGCAAATTTTTGATTAATTTAAAAACAGAATTTTAATCATAGAAATTGAGAACTAAAATATGTAAAAGGCATCTCTATTTGCGGGGAAAAACATTATACTTTTAATGAGGATTATACCACTGATATTCACTCACAGAGCACCGTTGGTTTTTTCTGTATTTTTGGATGCCTACACAATATCCTTGACGTACCCCAAGTGGGTATAATTGTACGAGTACATTTCTCCGACGGATGGTGGAACAAATTCTTGGCATAAATCCAATCTAGTTGGCCGTAAATCAATGGCAATTAGGAACGTATTAGTTTTAGGACAGCCGTTAAGATTCAGTCAAATAGAAACTGCGACCGCGAGTATTCATTCATTTGGCTGGAGATTTTGGGCTCTCCACAGATCGGGGCGGCAAGC